TGTAGAGGGGAAAAGAGAGTAGGATAGGACATACCAACAAATATATTATCATCATTGGTCCGATCTATTATGTTAGGAAAAGGGCAGAAGTTGAAACGTTTTGACAAATTAGGAATNTGGTCACATGGTTTGACACACGTATAGAAATTGAAGTTGATCTTGTAAGGGTGTGAACTGCATCTAAAACTTCCAATATTATTGGCTAACTCGAAGTTCATGATGAGACAACATTCCTCTTCTTGTAATTGCTTTTCGAATTTAGAGAGTAAATTTCCTTTACCAGAGGCTTGTATTCTATCACCCTGTTTAGTAATAAATTAAAGACAACAGTTAAGAATCTTGAGACTTGCTGCAAGAATGACTTGTAAATTTTGAAGAGCCACATCAACAGAGAAGAAGATCGAGATTGAAGGCACATTAAGAAACATATTTTGAAAGAAGTTTTACCTTCTCATCCACAAGAAGAAGATCGATTCCTGATAATTCTTTTGCTCTATGTTTTTTTGGAAATCCCCAAATACGCAGAATACGAATTTTGACTTTACAAACTTCACTCGCCGAAGTAAGTTGTGACAAAGGTAAACAATCTAGCGGCATGTTGAATGGTATATGATCTTCAATTCCTGTAACTGCGAATAAAAGTTAATGTGAGAATTCATTGGGTAAAGATAATTATATATATGCTATAGATTTTACAAATTCGAGGGGTTGAAAGTGAAATTACCTTTGAAATGATTCTTTACTTAATCGGTTGAGAGAGATACAAAATCATAGCAAGAAAATTTGAAAGAAACTTGTTGGTGAAAAGAAAATTGAAGAGTTTAACATGTACACAATTCATCGGAAATAAGAAGGAGGTTGAGAGCATAGTAATGGTGAACGTGGTGTGGAGATTTATTTTAGCGAAGCGATTTTAGGGGACACAATAACCTAATAGAAATTGGGTGAAAAAGTTGTTTTTAATAATAAATATTTAATATAAATGTTTTCAGAATTTTGTGGTGAAGACACGTCATAGAAAGCTTACGTGTCAAAAGGAGAGTAATTTAAGCTTACTTGTGTTTTAGTAGATAAAAGATTCGTACGGGTTTAGATGTTTTTTTTTTGTCAAAAGGGTTTAGATGTTTCTTTCCGGTTTTTTTTGTATATTTACTTTGGATAATAATGCTGCATGTTTTTGGATTCTTTTAATCTATTTTAATTATTAATTTTTTCATTTTATTGTTGTTTGATATTAAGTAATTTTATTGAAGAAAATTGTGTATAAAAGCTTACGAATCATCAAGACACCAAATATTTAAAAGTCGAAATTTAATAAGAAAACAAATTCCTTACATTTAAAACTCTTAAACTCAGATGAATGTATTATAATGAATATTCAGATACAACATAGATATTAATGTTCTCATTGTTTGATTTATTACAAATATGTGTAGTTTGTTAGGGTTAAGATTTATCTGGAGTTAAGAGTTTTCACTCTTAGGATTTAGTTCATTTTGAAAGAGAGTGCGAGCTGATTATAAAACCAGTCGCCAAAACTAATCGAACATTACATATACGAGCTATCTTTCACTATAGCTGAAGATGAATCGAACCATAGTTTCGTTTTGTTTGTTAGGATTAAGACTTCTCTAGGGTTAAAATTCTTCACTCTTAGGGTTTAGTTCTTTTTGAAAGAGAAGTGCGATGTGAGTATAAACCCACCCTCCAAAACTAATCGAACACTACATATACGAGCTGGATTTCACTATAGCCGAGCTAAATCGAACGATAATTTTGTTTAGTTTATTAGGGTTAAGGTTTCACTAGGGTTATGGCTCCCCACTCTTAGGGTTTAGTTCATTTTAATTTGCAAAAAAACAAAAAAAATTGATGAATTTATAATTTGCTAAAAAATGTAAATGAAATATGTATAAATTATAAAAAAATATGATTGGAACCTTATTTTTCATGAAAACTAAATATTGATCGAAATCAGTTTGAAATAGTAATAAGCGATCATATCATATTGATGCTGGTAGAAAGTTATATGAGAATGATAAGTACGACATGAGTATAAAACCACCCGTCAAAACTGACCGAATACTACATATACGACCTAGATATCACTATAGCTGAGCTGAATTGAACCATAGTTTTGTTTAGTTTGTTAGGGTTAATACTAACCTAAGGTTAAGACTCCCCACTCTTAGGGTTTAGTTTCTTTTAGTTTGCAAAAAAAAGATTTTTTGATGAATTTATAATTTGCTAAAAAATATAATTATAAAAAAAAATATGATGGGAAGCTTATTCTTTATGAAAACTAAATATTAATCAAAATTAATTTAAAATAGTGATAGACGATCATATGATTTAAATGCTGATAGAAAGTTATATAAGAATGATAAGTGCGACGTGAGTGTAAAACCACCCGCCAAAACTAATCGAACACTACATATACGAGCTATATTTGTAGCTAAGAATCGAACCATAGTTTTGAAATGGCAACCCTAAATTCTCAAGCTATGTTTTTTAATCTTATAAATACTACTATTCAACACACACAAAATCATCCACCCTTGAAACATATACAACGAAAATACATTTAAGTTTTATTTTGCGATTCAATTTTGTTTTCTTATAGTTTTAAAGATAAATTTAATTTTTAATGTTTTTGATGTACACTTATAGGAGAATCATGGTTTCACATACAATATTTTCCTCTTTTCTTTTGTATAATCATATACGGGGTTTGTGGATTAATAATTTGTCCCATTGGTTTTTGTAGATCTCTTCTCTATATTTATCTTCAAAGAATTTTCTGATGAGAATTCATCTTCTTATACGTTAGATTACCTGACAAAGCCGTGCTTGAGCGTGGATCTTCGTTCGTGTCGCTTGGAATGAGTTTCTTTTACTTTTTGTCTGTTTCAATTGTTTAATGGTTTTAATTTTACTCATATTGGAGTCTGCTGAATAAGATACGAAGTTGTGTACAACCAATGTATCTTTAGTGGTTTGTTTTCTCACACCATTCATACCACCTCTTCATCAATCTCACCTTTGATGTCACTTTAGTTATCCAAATTCTTTTTTAACATCTAACCTATACAAATCTTTGCAATTTACAATATTATGATGTTTTTTTTTTGTTTCTAAATTATGTCTCATCTATCATGAGAGTGAGGCAAAGTGTTTTAATATTACTTTACAAACGATATCTTTTAGGGGTTTGTGATTTGTGTTTTTCTTTAGATAATTTTTTGATTTTCTGTTTGTGATATCTTGTGTCTTTTCTTGATTTTTTTTTTGTGAATATAAAAATTACAAAAAACATAATAATGACGGTGATGAAGAAGAACACAAAAGAAGAGTAAATAAAACAAAGAAAAATCTCTAGGGAAGAAATGAAGAAGAATAAAGAAAGAAACAACGGAAGAGAAAATCTTTAAAGACTTCGATTATTTGTTATAACACCGAGGAAGGAAAAAATGAAAAAGTGATGATGATGAAGTTAAATACGAAAAACATGTAATATTTAAAAAATCATACGTACGTAGATGAGTATAGCCAGTGGAGTAGGATTGGGTAAATTATCCGTTAAATTCGATCCGATTCGATATTCATTTCAATCCAATCCAGCAAATAGTAAAATTTAGTATCCGTCTAAATCGAAGCAAATCACAAATACTAATTTTAAAAATCCGAATATCCGATCC